ACTTTCATGTCACATTTATTCTATTACCTTCTGAAATTGGAAATTTTGATCAAATGCGGCATTCTAGTATTAAACTGGAGTGATTTTTAATAGCTAAAAGAGACCCAAAAGTCAGAAGCATCAACCAAGATGTAAAGGGACATGAAAGGCAACTTTTCCATAGACTAGAACTCAAAGTATTGATTGCAGGGAAAAGGTGCTTCAAGTTTATATACAGTCCATGGAATGGAGGTTGTTGAATAACAACTAACGCTTACAAAGTCTTTACTGTATATAGGTCAAGTGATGTTTCTAGGGCATTTGCTAGTCACCTACCTACATGTGACGTAAGCATACATGTTGTGTTCATTTTTTAGAAGAAGAAACTGAGGCACACAGAAGCTGAGCAATTGATGCAAGGCCAGAACTGAAGCTAACATCTGAACCCAGGTAAGCTGCTCTTCCATAGTGTTAGCTACTATTGCTTTCATGTGATACTCTAGTCTGTGGTTTGCTTTCACTCTCTCCAGTCATTCCTTCTTTACTTTTGATTTTTAGTCATGTAGTCCAGGCAGGCCTGGAGCTATCTATGTAGCTAAGGATGACCTTAAACTCCTGACCTTCTGGCCTTTACCTCCAGAGTGCTGGAATTACAGGTGCATCAGGCCTGATTTATTTGGTATGGGAAGTCCATAAATTAATTCCATCCCCAGATCTTATCTATCTATCTATCTATGTACCTATCATCTGTCTACCTAATTGAGACAAGCTCTCATTCTATAACTCAGGTTAGTCTCAAACTATTAAGTCCTGCCTTAATCGTCAAAAGTGAAGGGATTATAGGCATAAGTCAACCAGGTCACCTTTTCATGTTTTAATTTAGAACAGGTAACAGGATTTTTTTTTTAATTCCTCTGACATCAGGATAACTCTCTTGTCAACTTTCATTGTCTGTAGTGGTGGTAGTTAAGGCAGAGTGTACAGACACAGCTCATGTGGTCAAAAAAGCTGTAACTTGGTTTTTGAGACAGGGTTTCTCTGTGTAGCCTTGCCTATCCTGAAACTTGCTCTGCCTGCCTCTACCTCTCCATAACGTTGGGATTCAAGGTGTGCACTACTACCACCTGGCCAGAAAAGCTATATCTTAGAACACTTTTGTTGTTGTTTTACTTATTTTTTTTTTCTTTTCCGAAACAGAGTCTAACTATGGAGCTCTGGCTCTCCTAGAACTTATTAGAGCAGGACAGCCTAGACCAGGCTGGCCCTGAAAAGCATAGAGATCTGCCTGCTTCTCTAACTAAAGGCATGCATCACAATGCCCCGCCTGTCTTGTTTTTTGGAAACGGAGTTTGAACCCCTTAAAAGGGGATTGTTTTGAGTGTGGCTCCATGTGCATGTGTGCTTGGGCACAGATGGAAGTGTGGGTGCATGCATGTGCACATATATGTAGAGGCCAGGGGTACTGATAAGCAGGAGATAATGCCCTTTTTTTTTTTTTTTTGAACCTGGGACTTACTAATTAGGCTAGGCTGCCTGGCCAATAAGCCCAGGGATCCATGAATCTCTGCCTCTCCAGTCCGGGATTACAAACCCTCAAGCAAACCTTTGTTACCCACCTTGGCTTTTCATGTGGGCACTGGGAATGAACTCAGCCCCTCATGCTTGAGCAGTAACACTTTACCTACTGAGCCATCTTCCCAGCCCCCCCCCAAAAAAAGACTTGAAAGATAGATTTAAACACAAGACAGATTTGAACACAGACTTTAATAGAAAGAGAGAAAGAATAAGACACACCCAGAATTGTGAACTTGGGTTTCTCAGAGGAAAGCCACTTCTTGATTTCTTTTGAAGACATGACCGTAGTTTAAGATGTGGTAAGAACATCAGAGTGTTAAGGCCAACTTTCATGTTCCTTTTACACTATTTGTGGCTGAACTTAGTGTTCAGAGAACAAAGACAGAGACTTTCAAAGTTTAAAGCAAAGCAATGGACTTGGATTTCTAAAATGACATTTTCTCAAATAGCATAAACTTTATTTTTAGCTTTTGCTTTGTTTGTTGAGACAAGGTGTCACTTAGGTAGCCATGGTTGGCCTGGAAGTCATTATGTAGGTGTAATTGGCCTTGAACTTGCTGTGATCTTCCTGCTTCTGCCTTTCAAGTGTTGACATTGCAAAGGTGTGCTACCATACCCTATTTGTTTATTTCTTTACTTTTTTGTTTTCATGTGTCATAATCTTTGAATAAAGTCATGTAAGATTTGCCAAGGTTCCACCTTTGAACAGGGCAAAACAATTACCGATGCTGCGTTCGGCCTACAAGCACTACCAATTCATCCTGCAGGTTGATTCTTCTGCCTTGCAGCAGACCCAGGTTGTATCATGAAGTTTAGAACCAGATGGGCATTTCATAAATTCCACGTTGTCAAGAACTTACTTTTTTTTATTTTCTTTTTATCTTTTTAAAACTTTACTTGAATTAGTATGTAGGCTTTGACTTAAGGCTGGCTTTCTTCTCAGATACAAAATGGCTGCCTGTGGCATTTGGGGTATTTAAACTCCTTCTTCATCCAGAAGGTGCAGAGAAAAAAAAAATCTCTTTTTTTTTTTTCAAAGCCATGAGATGTTAAGCTTTTTCTTTTAGTCTGAGACTGATTTAGACTCAGCCTCTCGAAGTGAGGGTTACAGATACTGTGTGTAATACTATCAGGTTGTTCATTGTAGCTAATAAAAACAGAGGCTACCCAGTTAAATGTGAATTTCAGATGAATAGCAACTCATTTTTCAGTATGTGTACCCTTTTCTACAAATACTACAAATGTGTTTAGTTTGCCCAGAAGGGCATTTCATAAATTCTTTTTGGACAGTGACTAAAAGGTTTACTCACTCTTCTAGCCTTGTTCTGAATATATCTGGATACAACATATGTATTAAAAGTTATCTTTTGTTTATTTAAAACTCAAATGTATGAAGGCAGTCTGTATTTTCTTTGTCTGCCTTAAATATCTGTAGAATTGTTAGCACTGAGGAGGCATTTGCAGGTAACTGTTATTGCTCTTTTTACATAAGAAAAGACTTCAGGTGAATGACAGCATATTTCTTCAAAACACCTAGAATGCTTAGTTTTCTCACAAACGAAGAATTAACTGAACTGGATGTGGCTCCAATAAATCAGTGTTGAAAACCAGATCAAAGCAAACATCCTTTCAGTAAAAGGCTGACTTTGCCCATGGTATGGTCCACTGGAAAACGTCTAAAACAGTTACTTAAAATGACATTGAACTTACATCTGTGGTCATTCTATTATCGTTTTTTTTTTTTTCCTTACCTTCTTCTCATTCTATTCGGATAAACCATCCTTCATTTGATTCCAAGACAATGCTGCTGAAATTCTGAGTACAAAGGCACTGACATGGTGAGATAGCGCAGTGACTGTCCCAGGAATTCCGGCTCCACGTGGGTGAAGCATGAGGTCACAGCACTGCTATTTTGCAACTGGAGAAGACAGAAGCTTCTGCAAAGCCTGACTCCATTTTTCCTCACTGTTCCTACCTGGAATTTTTTCTAATATGCTTCCTGAGAAAGTAGGTGCCTTCAATTGCTTATGAAATATTCAGCTCGTTTTGAAAAAGAAAATCTTACTGGCTTCGCATCAAGTGCACAAACCCATCACATAGCTACCTGTTATTACCAGACTCAAGGCAGGAGTAGATTAAATAAAAATTTCCAAGATATCTATTTCCTATTACAAAAGGCTATTTCTATTTTGGTGGCATTTTTGACCTCATACACTGTCTATTTTCTGTCCCTTCCTAAACCCCAGAAAAGCTTAATTCTTCCTCTCTGCTTTTTTTAAAAGTGGAAATCATCATGCAGCTTGTCATAGATTTGTCTGCAATGTCTTTCACAAAGATCTTTTTTTTTTTAACCTAAAAAAAAAAAAGTGCACTGGAACTGTGTATCCCATCACCTATTCATCCTCATTGAAAACCTGAGCCACGGTGGGTATTAAGATCTTTGTATTTCTTCTGATCCGGCGATGACTTCATTGCCTTTTTACCAGCCAGGGAATCATGTAAGGCAGAGAATCGGGCCGGAGTAGAGTTGTGGGTTGCTGCCGCAGCCGCTGCTGCCGCGGTTTGCACGCATCCAGCTGCTGTGTAAGGAATCCTCCGGCTGCCAGTTCTTTGCTCCTAAGTCACCCTAGGGGATCGCGGGCTGCTAGATGAACGTGCATATGAATGTGTTTGGAAGGCGTGCACGCACAGCTGCAAGTTAGGCAGCAGCAATGGACTTCGATATAATTTTTTTTTTTTTTTTTTTTTTTTAACTAACAACGAGATGAGCCATCCTTCGTCCTTTATTTTCAAGCAGTGCACGGGCTCCCGCCTGGAATGTGCTCCCCGCCCTTCACCCACTCCGCGCAGGGGTCCCCAGAGAGGGAGGCTAGGATAGCTGCGTGCAAGCAGGATTCCCCTTTTTTTTTTTTTTTCTCCGCCGGGGCCGGGGGGATCCCCGCCCCCCCCCCCCTAACCCCCGCATCCACCCCACTCAAAGTCACGATCTCCCCTACAACTCCTCCCTCACTTCCCCCTCCCCACGTAGGCTCATGGATCGAGCCCCGCCTCTCCCAGCTCGCAGCCCAGGTTGCTAGGATTTGGCGGGGCAACCAAACCTGGTGCACCAGGAGGAGCGTCGAGGGCGCGCACAAGCGCGTTCGCGTAGCAGAAAGCTAGGATAAAAAACCCGCGTTCTAGAATTCTGAGGTTTCCAGAGCGAGCGGCGTGGGCGTGGAGCGCAAGCCTGAACTCGAGCACGAGCGCTTTATCTTCATTGGGGCCTATAAGAAGTAGGCAGGACTAAGGCGGGATCTAGCGGGAGGAGAGGAGCTTGTTAATTGGTCCGAATGGACAGACCGGGGGCAGGGCAATCAGCAAATTAGGCTGCGCATTCCCTCCGGCGAGAGGGCGGGGCCGGAGGCTTCGCTTACTTGTCGCTGCCGCTAGGGAAGGTAAAGCGGTGACGGCGGCAGCGGGAGTGGAGGCTCCCTCGTTAGAGGTGGGAGAACCGGGCAGGGTGAGTAGTTTCTTCCGCCCGACAGGCTATTTCACATTGGTTGTGTGTCTGCTAGCTTGTCCCTGGAGAGGGAACCTAGTCGGTCCACTCCGGACGGTGCCAGAAGGGGCGGCAGTGCAGGTCCCTCCACTACGGGGCGACGGGGCGAGGGCGTCCCGAGCTGGAGTCTCCCTGAGCTACCCACCGTGCACCTCGAGGGGCTTCCCGGAAGGGCTGGGGCCGGGATTTTTGGTGCCAGGGGACACAGTGGCTTATGTTAGACGGACAGTGGGTCGAAGCTGGACCCCGCGGGACTCCCCTCTGCTGCAGGTCTGCGGTGTCTCCACCCCGCCGCCCCCGTGGCCAGGGCTCTCTGGGGCTTTCAGCGAGGGAAGCCCTTTTCCGCTAACGTTGAGGAGGGCCCTGAACCTTCCGCCCAAGTTCCCAGAAAACCTGGAACCGCCAGCGGTCCTTCTGACCTTGGCTGCACGGAGGGTGGGCGAGCACCCCGCCTGCAGCCCCGCAGGTTTCTGCCACCATCTACGGGACAAGTTTCAGGCATTGCTATGAAGTTCACGGCTGGCAGAGAAGCAGAAATTGACCCTTTCTCAGATCTTCCTACCTTTGGACCTTCATAGAAATTGAGTTCTGGGGTTTGGAACCATCTGCCAGAACGAACAAGTCCTTCTCGAAATGACAAGGGGTGTGTGTGTGTGTGTGTGTGTGTGTGTGTGTGTGTGCGCGCGCGCCCACGTAGGGGTAAAAAATAACCTGGGCATATTTCAATATAAATTGGGGGTTTTGTTTTTTCGCTTCACTTGAGTGGTAGGGCACAGATGCTTAAATAAGAAAAGCCTGGCTTTAGTGTCTATACAGACAGACTACAAGGATGCTGTGATATTTAAATAGTTGCAGATCAGTATTCTGTTAACACAATTATTTTTAATTGGCTGAAATTTAAGCTGATTTTAGAAAGTATTGACACAGAATAATTTCTTTCCGTGCATCTGATTTAGGCTTGTTTGAACATAATGGTTATGTAGGCAGTGTAAAAGATTACACAGATTAATTTGTCTGAAAGCATTTGACTGAAAACAGGAGGCATAAATATGTATAGAATATAGGATTAGGGTTTTAGGTAATATCTGCTGGAACACTTCCAGTTTGTTTCTTGCTGTAGGGTTAAAAAGAAAAAAAAAAAAAGCATTTTCACGGAAACACTTTGGAATTACAAACTGCATAAAATTTAGATGTAAATTGGTTTTTCATTTCTTTAAGTATTTTCAATTATTTTTCCTAAAATGTGAAGAGGCTGCGTTTCTTTATCCCTGATTATTTGGTGTTGAAAGGGGAAGTATGATCTTGCACTTAACAATCCAGCTAGGATTCATTAATAATTAAAAAAAAAAAAAAAACAACGTAAAAGGCCTCCATTTTTCTGAGAATATGATATTTAAGTACCTAGCACGCCTTTTTTCATTGCTTTATTAAAAGTACTATTTGAGGTTGGAGCATTTTTTGGCGTTGATGCTGGAAAGGGAGTAAGAAAGCCTGCAGCAGTATTACCAATTTGACACCACCAGTGGGTGTTTCTGTTGACAAAGGCTGAGAGGAGACCATTTGGGAAGGAAATCTTTTTTTGGGGGGGTGGGATGGGGTGAGTTAAGGAGGGTAGAAGAGAGAAGGAGCCAGAAGAGAGAAGCTGTAGAACAAAACGCTGCCAACAAATGTGTGTGCTGGGCATTGCACAAGTGCAGGAGAAGCTAATTAGGGAGAAAAATACCATTTGTCTGCATTAAAGACTAGAACTCCAAAAGAGGCATACTAAATAAAGTTAACCATTCCAAGAGTGTTTAATAGCCCACCATTTCTGAGTACTTAGAAAGAGGACTCCTGTGTTGGAAAGGGCATCAAATCCTTTTGAATTGGCTTGCCTTTTAAAGTTAATCAGTGCAATGGTTCATTTCTTAGGTAGACCCAGAAACAGTTTACTGTCCTTATTGTGTTGATTTAGCATAGCTCCTAAGCTTTAGAAAGAACTTGATATATTAGAAAATTATTCAGAAATAAAATCCCTTCCCCAGGGAGCATTACTTTTGTCACTGCTCAGTCTTATGTTAATGATGTAGGTAAGGCCCCCCCCCTCCCCTTCTCAGGGTTTTGATTTTGTTGTTGTTTATCCAAGTGTCCAAACTAAGTCTACCATTGTATATTCTCGGAGTTATTTCAATCAGAGATACATCTTCTGTGCTCCCTGGGGTATTTTAAAGGAAAGTATTTTTCCCATTGAGAAAAATTGCAGGGACATCTCACCTATTGTGAATGAAATGTATTCTGTTCCAGATAGTCTACATTTGAGAAAAACAAGACTTTCCATGGCATTTTCTGTTTGGAAGGTGCAGTATTCTTATACTATAAACCTTAAATACAGAGGTGGAAAATTCTTCTAAGTATGCATTTTCCCCAACCTGTTTCTCCACAATGGTTAGGAATCTATGAGAGAGTCTCAGCCACAGTTGCCTTGTTGCAAATGACAGCACCTTCCTCTTGCAGAAAGTTAGCTTTTCAGTATGACTTGCATTTCAGTTTACTTTGTACTAGAATATTTGAGCTATAGCTGAGAAATAAGCTTGTGGGGAATTTATAAAGTAACAAATAGAGGAATATTTTCTTACCTGTTAAAAATTTCACCCTTGCCAGGCACGGTGGCACATGCCTGTAATCCCAGTACTCTGCAAAGCAGAAGCAGGCAGATCTCTCTGAGTTCAAGGCCAGCCTGGCCTAAAATTGAGTCCAGGACAGCCAAGGCTACACAGAGAAACCCTGTCTCCAAAAACCAAACCAAACCAAAAAATTCATCCTTTTTTTTTTTTTTTCTTTTACTTTGACAGTTTGGATGGCTATCTCTTTTATTTTAATGTTTGGCTGTTCGAATGTGGGCTAATATAGAACCTTATTTTTGGCAGTTAGTGTGAGAGTATCGCACTCTAGTATAACAAATTGTTGTCAAATAATAAGATGAGTCATTTAAAGTGAACAAAGCAATTCATTTGCATAGATCCAAAATAGGAGGTAAATCTTTTATATAATCCTTAACTTTAGTACATAAAGATTTGAAGTATGCTGTTATTTTCTGGTTAGCAATGACTTTTTACTCAGAATCAGATAATTTTAGATCTTAAGGTTTTATTTTTGGCAACATCAAATTTCATGACAGAGGAGAAGATAAAATGTCAAATGTTGTTTACTATCTGATAATTGTGTCAGTTGGACCACATATTTTAACTTAGGGAAAATAATGAAATCAAGGCAATATTTAGAGCTGGAACTGTGACTCAGAGGCCGAGTACATGGCCCTGAATTACATCCCTAGCACCAGAGGTGAGTGGAACAGTAGTCTGCATTTAAGCTCTCCTTATGAGGATCTGCTTTGCTTACCATCTTAAGGCTAAAAAAAAAAAATTTGTTTTTGCTAATTCACAATTTTAGCATTTGGATTTTTTTGTTTGTTTTGTCTATTTTTAAGATTGGGTCTCATTTTATAGTTCAGGCTGGCTTGAAACTAATTCACTATGTATGCCTGGGTGGCTTGGAACTTGTAGTAATCCTTATGCCTCTTTTCCCAGGTGCTGGGATTCCTGGGAATACTGGTATGAGCTACTATGCTTGATCGAGATTTAATATTTTGATATTTTTGAGAATTTTCCTTATATGGATCAGTGCATGCATTAATGAATTATTCAAGGATTGGGTCTCATTTCTCATTTGAGTTTATACATTTCTTTAAATGGAGATAGGAATTTGGGAGGCAATTCTTTCAGTGGATATGAAAACAGAGACTGAGGACTTTCAACCTAAAGAGATGGTTAACATTTAGACATTTCATATTTGGGAATTAACAGAAAATTATTTATTGGTTTAAAAGGACCAGGCTCTTGGAAATTTTGAATTAAGCTTTTTTTTACTTAAAGACTTTTTTGTGTGTGTGTGTGTAATTCTCATCAGAGTTAAGTTTTGGGTGCAGTCTCTCTTTTGTATAGTCACTCTGCTCTATAATTTTCATGTTACATCTATTGACCCTTACTGAATACCAGCTGCTGTGGCAAATTATTTATTCACATGCATGCATGCATGTGTGCTCACAGCCTTTCTCCAAGGTAGATGTATTTATTTCCCATATACATGTCAGAAGGGCTCAGAAATGATTTACATATATTAGCTAGCTAGTCAGCAGAAGAGGGAAAATGGCCATACAAACCAGTCTGACTTGAAATTGTGCTTTTCCAAGCCATGCACTCTGCTTCTCTTTGAGAGTGTGGTTCCTAAAGCCTGTTTTGAGTTCTTTTTGTATACTGGAGCTGGGGAGTCCTAGAGGTATAAATTTGCTTCCTGGATTTCATAGACCTCACTGGCAAGGCTGCCTGGCCTTCTGTGACATGGGGGACTGGACTAGATCCATCAAGACTACTGGTTAGGGCAACCAGAAGAACAGCCGTTTTGAAAGTACAGCCTTGTTCGTTTGAGTCCTTCCTAAATGAAAGTTGTACGTGTAGTCGTGTATGTCCAAAATGAGATAATTGTTTCAATCATGTATACCCAAAATGAGATAATTGTTTCTGGTTAAAAAACTTGGTGCTTCATGTTTCTGCATATTCGTTCTAGCTTTTCACTGGCTGATGGAATTTAATAGACTAATAAAGACTATGAGGATGCCCTTTGAATTGCCTTTATGTGTATGTGTGTGTTGCTAGGGATCAAACCCAGGATATTCCATATTCGAGGCAAGTACTCTACTAGTTATAATTTCTAATAGTACCCTCCTTATCCCACTTTTCTTCCACAATGAAGGCTCTCAGTAAGTTACCTGGTGGTCCTTGAACTCACCCTTTGTATCCCAGGCAAGACTTGAACAATCTTTTCCTGCCTTGATGCAGAATTCTGCCCATAGCTTCAAGTACAGGCCTGAACTATGAGGCCTGGCTAGATATACTCTTGAAGTGGCAGCTGTTTGCAGGTGGATA